TCGCGGGTTTCATCCCGACTGTGACGCCCGTATTTCAATGGCGGCGGTATGGTAGAAGCAAGTGTACTGTGTGATGCCATTGCACGTCAAAGATCTACAGAGGTCAAAATTTATGGAGTCCCTCCCCTACAGAATCCCTTATAATCACGTCGTCGTTTTGGGACGTGAACCCCAGTTATTATTATTATTATAGCTTCGCTTCTTGCGAGTAGTCATAACTGAACAGTCTCAAACAAACGCGAATATTCCCAAGCATTTCGGCGAGGCCTGCTCCGAGCGTTGCTAACAATGTTGGTGGGTGGAACACGAGTACATCTGAATAACCCGACAAACTCGACTCACAATGTCTTTCACTTGAGCAGTCGTGTTCTCATGCAATGACTCCAAGCTTTAGAAGAAAAACGATTCCTTTAAATAAGTACTGTCCCACAAAACTCAATATCTCCCTAGCTGAGACTTGCCACGCTAAGAAATGAGCACCGAAGTCTCTGTGAACCGTGGTTCGTGCACGGAAACGTGAAACTGGGGTTGGAGAGCATTGGGAAGTTGTCGCATCTCGTTTGAATACTGTTATAGAGCATTTATGTTATTCTTTACCATTATTGTTAAACAATTTAGGTTAATCAAGTTTGCTTTGTTTTCTTGTTCCTCGGCTGCACTTAGATCTATATTTGTATGAAAAAACTAATTTCGTTGATCGTGGCGTTGTATTCTTGCTAGCTCTTTTTGCAGGCTATTGTATATTTTTATTCTGCACTGATCATATGTTTTCATGTTTTCGTTTGTGAAGTGTTTTTCTTTGCTGCTGCCCACATGCCATAGAGTATTGTGGGCTACGCACTAGACAAGCCGACTCTCGGCTGCTTTTTTTTTTGTCGCAGTCTTAAATCTGTAAGTTTGCACAGGGTAGAAATAAAAATTTCATTTCATTTGATTCGGCGAAAAGACAATTGTTCGAGAGGCTGCTTTTTCTTGCTATAGCAGTACAACCGATGAATCCAATACACAGTTGCGCAAAATGAAACAAGAGGATGCATTATATGGTATTTCAACTGTTTTCCTAGTAATTACTCGGTCATACAAGCCCAGCGAAAGGCAGCCGATATCAATTCTTGAATTTCATAACCCAGAAATATTGCACGTATACAGAGCAAAGGGAAACCGTGCACTGCGGCGGAGTTTTAGCGCTTGAAGTCATTCCAAAATGGCGCAAGAGATCATGCCTGCTTACCTACTGTACCGAAAGACACTTATAGATTTCCTCCATTGCGTGTCTGAGAACACAAATTGTTATACTGAATAAGGCTACAGTACTTATATGTATTCACCTTGCGTCTTTGTTTCGTAAATAAAAAAAATTGTAAATAACAATAATTGCACAATTTTGTGCTTCAAAGTGCAATAAATTGTGCGATCGGTTAGTACTTATTGCGCGTATTTTTATCTTCCAACTGCATCTTCATAAATATTCTTTTTGGAAAACTTCGAACTCAGTTGCGTGCGTTTGGAAACCTACTCCACCAGCTACAATGGAATTTTCGTAGATTTCACTTGATCTCATGTTCAATTGTTTCATTCGAACGCTTTCGAAAAGGAAACCGTCTATTATGTACCAAATCTATGTTCTAAATGTTTTTCACCACATTGTTTATGCTCCCATATAAACCATGTAATATCGTATAAGATCTGTAGTCATACATTTTCGCTTTTTCTATGTAAGTGTATCTATAGTATCTTTTGGTTGCCCTCCTGCAATAGTCCCCATAGGGACTGGCAGTATGTATAAATAAATAAATAAATAAATGTAGGCTATAATGATGAAAATAATAGATGAATTTTGAGAAGTCTCTCCTATGGCACGTGAAGAGTTAGTACAGCATAAATTTCTGGTGATGATAATACGGGTACCCACTTAATAGCTATGATTTTAGGTGGTTTAGGTAAGTCTTACACCCTCCATGCATCTTCGTGTTTATCGGGGGATATTTTTTCTTGTTTTTCAATCACTTTGTGCAAAGTCCTATTAGTTACTTGCTGAACTAATACTACTGATTTATGACAATAATCATAACTCATTTCTGACGAATTTTGGTCGATTTTGTTACAAATGTTTAAATAGTGCTTGTTCTAAAACCCAAATTTTTTATTTAGCAGATCATCGACTAATTACTAATTACGTATAGAACAAGGTATTCGGCTATTATTGTCATATTGAAAGTAATTGTCAACACCATACGAACAGTACTCTAGAGAGAACCGACTTCCAATATTGTGCTTCAAATCCACCTTTTCCCCTTTTGTGAATCGAGCAGTTTTTTTCGGTTTTGGCTAAAACGTTAAAACTTTTAGCGGTACCGGAAAGGCAGAGCGTCGTGTTTTGCTTGTAGATTTACAATGTAAAAACAGCGCCTGCACAAAAAGATCAGGATATGCTCTGCTGTCTGGTATCATTCTCAGAGTCCTAATATCGACATTGTTGTCAACAGAATAGCTTTGGACAACAATGAAGTTTTATATCTACAAAAAATCAGCCCCTGCTTAATTGTCGCTTATCCTCTCCATAATATACCATGAAAATAATGCGCTAAACTAATGGTCAATGTAGTTGTTTGCCTTCTGATCAAAACACTTGAGTTTTGCATGCCCATCCCAAAAAATTGTGTTGCAACAGCATTTCAAGTAATACAATATAGGAAGTAGGCGAAATTTATAACCCGGCAGAACGGCTATACAGATACTCAATCGCAAAAAGGCCCTATACTGGCGTCATGTCCAAAAAGGAATCTCGCTTATGCATGTAATATAGCGTGGTACAACAGCAACATAACAACCACGCTTCACAAAAGGCGAATCGCTTAACCCTGGGTCGTTTTATGCTCCCCCTCTCGACGCTTAAACGGCTCAGCCAATATTTTTAATTGCCATCAGCCCCAGAATGAACGAAGTGCACGTAATGGTTTGCAAATGCGTAGGAGCCACTACGCTTCTTCCCAAAGTGATGCGTGATATAATAGTACTTCCTACTACCGCGAAAATTATGGGGACTGGCGTCGCACGGCACATCAAATATTTACTTCGTGTAGTCATCCAGAGCGATGGTGGCCGCACGTCCAGCTATCCAACGAGTCCAAGAGAAAGCAAGCCTGCATCTCTGGCTGTGACAGTCACGCATTTAGCGCGGATGTTTGCCAGTTCCAAGCATCTTTTGTTGACTATGAACACTCTTGGCGTCTATCTATCTATCCATCTATCTATCTATCTATCTATCTATCTATCTATCTATCTATCTATCTATCTATCTATCTATCTATCTATCTATCTATCTATCTATCTATCTATCTGTCTATCTATCTATCTATCTATCTATCTATCTGTCTGTCTATCTATCTATCTATCTATCTATCTATCTATCTATCCATCTGCGTAGCTAGCTAGCTCGCCGCTTACGTTAGTGTGCTCTCGCTATCACCTCCTTACCTTGGTGTGAACAAAAATTAGTACGGGCGGGTAAGATGGTTTGACGAATATGAGGCGTGGGTCATGACATGGATAATGCCACTATCCACAATACCATCGCGTACGTCGTCAAACACTTCTCACCAGACATTCGCAAGTACCCGAGGGAGAAATAGAGAGCGCTTCGTTGAAAGGCAGAGACATTAGCTGATGTGAGTATATCACTAACTTGCTACTGTGCTAGAGAAAGGGGAATGGGGACTGCAAGACAGAAAGAGAGAAAAAAATAATATATGTTAAAATAAAAATATATACAGACAGTTCTTTGTTTCTTGGGCAAGAACGTCTGCGGACAAAATAACTTACTATGAGTTTTCAAGGTGCCATTAAAGTTTCTCAAGCTAAGCAATATTGTATAAATACGCGAATAAAAGTTTCATCGCATGTGTCTGTTGCAAGTACGGTTATGCGGCACTGCTATGCGGGCATGCACCATAGGTGATTTCGCGCTCAGTATGTTCCCAGAAAGGACGTAATCACGAATGGGAAATTTTATTACGTGAGCATTAAGAGGCACCTGTCACCAGCAGCGTCGACCCCACGAATGCAAAGAGTAAATGTCAGGGTCCCAGCAAGAGTCGACCCCGAAAAATCTGCATGGAAATCAAGCACTTTACCACAGAGCCACGCAAGGCCTCAGAACAACTTTCCAAATAAACCCTACCGTTTGTTAAACGTCAATTGTAGTAGCAGCACTGGCAATACAATTTTATAAACATTGCATATTACTTTTATGAAACGGCTGTTTAGTTTGGTTAATGCAGTTGCAGTTGGGTTTCATGTACTAAATTTTATTCATGCAGCATTGTCCCGGGCTACCATTATCGCGAGCACCAGTGCTGACCATCAGCTGATCGCTTCTGGTGTCTCTAGTACTCATGGTTCCGTCGGCATTGTGGTGCAAGTTAAAAAAAAAAACCCGTGTTATAAACATCTGCAACTCTTCAAGATATGCCCGTGCCTGCAACAAATATATATATTTAGCGTCCTTTGATGACGTGTTGCTCCCTAAAAAAATACAAAATGGTCACCTTCCCTCCACAAGCTTTCTCATAATGTGGATCCCCATGATACGTGGGATCTGCCGATTTTTCACATTTGTTATTTAGAGAGATGGTGGAGCTTTGCGGTGTGCGAGACCTCGACACCCTCACATGGGAGACCTATGGCTCGGTCAACTGAACTGCTCGTTTAGGCAAACGTCCACCCTTCCTCCCTGATTCTAGAATAACTTCAAGCAACCAAGGTTATATTCTGGGGTAATGTTTCGCTCCAACCTGAGCCATAGAGTAAACGCCGAATAATGAATAATAAGATGGCAATAGCAGCCAAAACGTATGCATAAAAGACTCTCCGGCGTCACGTAATTCATTACAAGATGACAAGCTCGAAACGGTGCTTTAGCTCGACATAATTCTTCTGACAGGAGCTCCATGAAATATGAATAAGTATTAATGTTGTAAGATTTGTGAATAATTGCTTACCTTACGAATATTGTAAGCCTGTTTTCCGATAAGAGGAAATTTGGATTCAATGGTGACGAAACAGGTTACAATAAAAACTGCCATGAGCACTGAATGTAGCGTCATGTTTCTTTCTCAAAAATGTTGCGGAGTGCTGGATCAGCGGCAATTTGTGTTATGCTAGAGCACTCCTAATACTTCATTGTGAGTTATTACACACTAACTCATATTGGACTCGGCTATTGTAAAACTGAAGGAACAGGTGGGTTGGGCTGGACATCACGCAACCGGCGTACACTGCAGTAGGTGAATTAAAACAATGGCGTAATATGTCATTCGGGGTGAAAGGCCAAGCGCAAAAAGTGTGTCCTCATATATTCACAGAATCGCAAATATCCACATTGTATTCGCAGCCAACATTCGGAAAATGGCTTCCTTATTCACTCTGCACTTATGCATTCTTTTGTGCCCCTGTGTCGCTTTGGGAGCTAAGCGCTGCGAAACTCATAGAAACAGTCACCATTTTTGCTGTATTCCTTGAAACCCTATTGCATAGATTCTTGAAAGAAAGACCCTTCTGTGACATGTGGAAATTTTTTTCTTTGATTTTTTTTGCCAAATCTGTTGAATGTAGCAGGAAATCACAAACTTCGAATGAAGAGCTTGCAGTGGATCACTGCTCTTAGACGTCTTTAACAAACTTTATTGTTAAACTGCGTGTGTATTTCAAATATGAACGACCACGGCCTACTGGTGCTGCTTAGCGAAAGAAAAAGTTAGTGCATCAAAGACGGGAACAAGAGGGAGTGTAACACAATACGCTACTGAAAAAAAAGTTATTGCGCCAAGGCAATATAAACAAACGCAAGCCTCCTGAGGCATGCCCAGATCCCATCATCATAAAAAACGCCACCACTCAGTTGAAAAAAAAACATATGAACAATACTTCTCACTAGGGTGAACGCATTAATAACAATGTACAAGCAACGTACATTCCTCATTCCTAGAATCAAATTCTTTTTTTACTCCCTACCAGCACGGATTCCGAAAAAGTTACTCATGTGAAACCCAACTTCTTTATTTTACTAATGACATAGGATCGGCTTTAGATCGCGGCTCACTTGTGCATTGCATTTTTCTTGACTTTCAAAAAGCTTTCGATAAAGTACCTCACCAATTACTCCTCCTGAAAATTAGTGCCTTAAACATTGACCCGAACATTCTTAAATGGATTGAATGCTTTCTGACTAATCGTACTCAGTTTGTAACAACTAATGGCTATAACTCACCTCTTTCTAAAGTAACATCCGGCGTACCCCAAGGTTCCGTATTAGGCCCTTTACTCTTTCTTATATATATTAATGATCTCCCAGACAGCATTAACTCCGCTATAAGGTTATTTTGCAGATGATTGTGTAATTTACCGCGAAATAAACAATGAATATGATAACCAATTTCTACAGTCAGACCTTGACACTGTCTCAACCTGGGGCAATAAATGGCTTATGACTCTCAACTCTAACAAATCTAAATGCATGTCAATAACCCGGCGATCTATTTCTCCCCCTGTACCTACAGAATTAACGCCGTTCCCCTCCAGCATGTCTCTTCATATAAGTACCTCGGCGTTTACATTACCAACAATCTATCTTGGCACACGCATGTTACCTACATCTGTAATAACGCTAACTGAACGCTAGGATACTTACGCCGCAACTTTTCTCGCGCTCCGCTGTCCCTCAAAATTTTATTATACCGATCACTAATTCGCCCAAAGCTTGAGTACGCGTCCGCTATATGGGATCCCGTGCAGCAAAATTTAATTAACGCGTTAGAATCTGTTCAGAACCGCTCAGTTCGGTTCATTTGTTCTAATTATTCCCGTACTGCTAGCATATCAGAAATGAAATCTAACCTTGACCTACCCAATTTAACTGTCCGGAGGAAACTGGCGCGACTGCATTTTTTTCATAAGATATTTTTTCACAATCCATCGATGAAGCGAGACCTCATTTCACAACCGTCATACCACTCATCGCGCATTGATCATCAGCATAAGGTTGCCATTCCGTTTTGCCGCACCAAATTCTTTTCAGCAGCCTTCTTACCGAAAACAGCCGCCGATTGGAACCACCTTCCCTCTTCCATTGTATCAATAACAGACCCTTTGTTATTCAAGACTGCAATTTCTCAGCAATGCTTGTAACCATACGCAGTTTCCATTATCTATCTTTGTCTTGTATGTGCTTGAATTCTTATACATTTTTAGTTGACTTATGTTGCCTTCCTGGTTTGCGCATCTGATACTTGTTTCTTTATTTTGTCTTTTTTTCTTGTGTGTTATATATGTTGTACCCACCCCCTCTGTAATGCCCTACGGGCCCTGAGGGTATTCTAATAAATAAATAAAATAAATAAACGTGAACTCAAGATGCTTCATCCAAGAAACTGATTTCTTTCTTGCTGAAAAATACTGGGGCCGGATTCACAAAACTCACCTACGAAAACAATTTCGCACAAGAGAAATTTGGTTGCGTAAGTTGATGCACGAAACGAAAAAAAAACGCCGTAAGATGCCGTCGTTGCCACATCAGCCGCTACGATAAAGCACACTGTCACTGCCCGGGAACATGTCAGCTATGGTGATGCAGTTGCTATATTGACTTACGTCACCAAAAAGTGCTCAAAAGTAGATTCACGAGGCAAGATTTTGCGTAAAAACAGTGTGGCCAAGAAAAATCCTAAGAGTGGTCTGGACCACTCTTAGGAACAATGTGGCTACTTTGAACCTGCCGCTGTGGTGGTATACTTTGGTGTCCTGGCTGGTTTTTAGTTAATACACGCCAATGAAGGGCTGCCTGATGACTGTCCGGTGCGTTTTTGTTTCTTTCGGTGCTTTGAGGTCCCTGTGTTGTTTCCCTTGTACGCAGTGGGTGGTATTGACAATCACCGTCGTCCAATAAGTTCGAAGTCGCAGTAATTGAAGAATGCTATTGGGCGTTAATGGCGCAAAATTATGCATGTAAGTATTTGTGGTAGGATGAAAACCAATGTGCTGCGTGAATGATCAGTGCATTCGAACGCGCCATGGCACAGCATCTACTTTACTTGTTATGTTGTGTTGTGCCCCATCTAATCCAAATAAAAACACGACTCGAGATCTTTGCCTCATTGGTGGAAATTACCATCAATGAGGTTAATGGGAGCACATTCGTTGCACGCTATAAAAAGTAAACATTAGAGGAATTTTTGTGAGTGGTTCATAAAGCTTGTGCTCTGGTGTACTTCGACTGGCTCTAACTGTCCAATGGGTGCGATCTATGAATTACAGCTGTCGATACACTTTGGGACGATCTGGAACGGCGCGTACATTGTAAACTGAAGCGTATAGGGAAGTGTGTGATTACGCATGAAACTACAAACAAATCAAGCTATTTCCCCTTCACTGTTGAGAAACCGATATGGACCGTGGTAATATGGCAAGCAGTAGGGAAAAAATGACCCTAGTAACTTTAAATGACACCAGAAATACGCCAACCCTCACAATTCTAGAGCAAACCTTTGGCTGAATTCGTTCCCTGCGACAATTATCAGCCATTTAACTTTGCACAGGAACATCAATCAAGGGTAGAGCGAGCCACTGACATGTATTTTGCGCGACGCAGCGACCACTTGACCTGGGAATAATTGCGTTGCGAAGGCGAATCTCCCTGTCGCATGCTCTGATCGAAGCAGACGACAAACGCGAGCAGACGACGGCTTGGCCGATAGGCACAGCTTGTGATTGGTTGTGAAGGAATACTCTCAACATCAGCTCACTCCGTGACGTTGCCGAAACACTTCTTTCATCTGGCACGCCTGTCGTGTTCATCATATCACCCCCTCGCACATAATAAAATCTTGCCATGGCGTGGAAATAGGCTCAAGTACCTTCGAAGAGCTTTTTTACGTGCCTGCGCAGTTGTAGAAAACAACATGCGGTCGTAAACAGCATAGCGGTCGGTGCGAAGTTTAGCAAATGCTGCTCGCATAAGTTACTTCAGCTTACGACCGAATGCGTTGTGATTACGGCTGTTTTTTCGGTGCTTGTAAGCAGTGTGGAAAGCTGCGACAGTGCAACGATGTACGCTGAAGTGCAGCGAAGCCTGTGCGTCAGTGTCTTTATCAAGCGGGGGTCGGCGCCGGTGTATCGACGGCAACTTGCACTCGAGAAGCCTGCAGTGTTTACTTGTGTGCCGGTAACAGTTCGTTCGCTTGACTTTCCAGTCACTCAGTTGGGTGCTGTGCGACATTTCGAATTAACAGCGTTTTGGCACGTTACTTGAGTGACCACAAGTACGTACGGAAACGTATCAACTACGCGCTGTGTTTGGTTCTCGCTTCACCACTGGTTAGCCCGTTCGCTTCTATTTTCTTGTGAACAATCTAGTGTTCGGGAGTGAAACAATGTTCGTTGTGAACAGTGGTGCTGTATTGACGTTTCCAAGATTTGTAAACAAGCTGTACTCATGTGACCGAAAATCGAAAGACAGCGTTGATAACTGTTTTGCCCTGCGAAGTTGCGGTCGTGGAGCTTGGCGCTTTTGTTTGTTAACTCATCACTTCTCCTTTTTGTGATAACTATAGTACTATCACTGATTTGATTGATATGTGGGGTTTAACGTCCCAAAACGACTATATGATTATGAGAGACGCCGTAGTGGAGGGCTCCGGAAATTTAGACCGCCTGGGGTTCTTTAACGTGCACCCAAATCTGAGCACACGGGGATGTGATGAATCAAAGCTGCGAGATGCTACATTCTGTTGTGGATCGTGTTACTTTGGTAGCGCGCCTAGACTGTTCTTCGGTAGGAACTTGAGAGTTCTATGTGGCAGCGAGAGCCCGTGAACGTCAAGTTTCCCTCCGGCCCCCAGAAAGAGCAAAGACTTCACCGGTGACTTGCCTTGCATGAAGTTGTAGGCCAGTACCGGCTACCTAAAGGTTTTTGAGTTCGTCTGGCCATCGTTTTGCACGGTACTATAGAGCCTTGACAACAACCGGTCGTTGCCAGTTCTTACACTATATTGATGGACATGCACGCCTGGCCAGCCCTTTATTCCTGTCATCGGCAGCTTCCAGTCTGCATATGTTCTTTGCCTGTTGGCCCTGGAACACACTTGGTTCCTAAAGAGAGTGACGGCTACTAAATGCTGCCAGTCAGTAAGTTGACCTTGCAGAACTAAA